TCCGAAGCGCAGCGATTCGCCAAATCTGTACGACTTTTGTTTGATCTAAAGCTCTGACTCTTTAATTGAATGCCTTTTTTTGTAGGAAATTCTTGAGACCGACGGTAAGAAGAGGAGGAAGACGGGCGCCGATGACAACGACGACACCGAAGAGGCGATTGGCGTTAAGAATAGGTTATCGCAAAAGAGACACCAGAATAACGACAGGAATGACACGTTTAATAACAGGAATAACAACAATAGGAATAACAACAACAAGAATAACAACAGGAATAGTAACAAAAAGTTTAAAAAGAGATGAATTTTGTAATACTTTTATGTCATATGAGTTAAAATTATTCGTAAAGAGCTTAACTTTTTCATTAGCTTTAGTCACAGCTAAAGTCAAATTTTTCAAATGATTGATTCAATGGTTGAAATCCATGTCATAGTTATAATTAAACCTAATGAAAAAGTTAAGCTCTTTCTGGATACTCATAAAAGATATACTGTAAGCCAATAAATCGTTATTAAAAAGTCTTAAAACTTTTATTAAAAACAACTTAAAATTATTAAGTACAAAAGTAAAACTATTATTAATATTTTATTAATGATTAGATTCAATATTTGGATGTATTTTTGATGCATTTGTCACCGAAAAAGTAATTTCAAATGAATTAATAAATGTTAAAAAATATTTTCGAGAAATATCTAGAAATGAAACTATATTTATAATTATTAGAAATATTTAAGTGGTTCAATAAAACATGACACAAACTTTACTTATAAGTAAAGTTATTTTTTCTGTGACTAATGCATCCAAATAATGAGTCGATTATTGATTAAAACTTAATTAAAAGTAAGTTTAATAAAAAAAACTGCTATTAATATAATGAAAACCAAACCAATGTGTTTGTAGTGCGAGTGGTGTCTCAGCCGTCGTATTATTTCTATGATAAGCCTTTCAGTGTTTTTTGCATTGAATTGAAAATTGGTTTTCAATTTTGGTTTCATTTATAATTTGTTTATTTAAATTGTAATAATATTTTAGTCAATGATTTAATAAATCGTTTGTATGTTATATGAGAACTGATTTGCGGGACAATGAGTGCCAGACATCAGGTATTGTTTACATTATATTAATCGCTAATTATTTGATGTTTTGATTACAAAAAATGACTGTTTTTTGTATAAATTATTTGTTATTTATTTAAAATTTAATTTGAATTAAAATTTTTAATTAGTATTTAAATGCATTTCAAAGACACTAACGATTGATATATAGTTTTGAATTATTTTAACTTTTTGTTATATGAAAGCAAATTATATCCGATATAGAGATCACCCGAACGGTCCGATTCTCGTCACAGGAGTGAACA